CTAATAGCCATTCAACTAAGTCATTGTCCTCTAAAAATTTATATGAATATAAAGAGAAGTGAGAACTACAATCTGTGTAAAGATGCTATTCCATAAGATAACATTGTGATTTCAAATAGCATCATTAAAATATTGTAAACCAAATTACATTGCATTGAACATGGCGTTTATCGGTACTACATAGTAACGATTATGACAACTTTTCAATGTCAAACTAAGAAAAATTCCTGAAATTTGCTCAATACAAATGTGATAACCTATCAGTAATGGGTCATTAGATAAATAGAAAGACACATTTTCCCAAATGAATTAGTGTGATGTATCATTGTAATAACTATACAGCATAAAGTTATTCTTTTCTTCGTACGAATTTCAATGATGATATCTTACCAAAAACAATCATGAGTGACGTTGATTCAATTTTTTTTTGGAAAACACTTAGCTTTTTAATGGGTTCATTCCGCATTTCTGCCTTCTCTGTTTAGTGAATGGTTCCATAGAAATGGGTTGTTTTTTCCTTGAATTTAGTTTTCTCAAGGGCATGATATTTATAAAGCTTCAGTATTAACTCATCAGACAATAGCTTCAATGCTCTTCCGATCAGTGTATGTGCTTTTTATTGAACAGAGAAGATTTACTCAATCTAATTTAGCAAAAACTCAATTTTTTTTCTTTTGTCGTTACCTGTCGTTCACTGATCAGTATAGTCACACCTTGATAGTCATGTAAAAACTTACCTGACATTTTAACAATTATCCATTCTCACCTTCAAGATATTGAATATGTGTACGTTAGGTTAAGTAGTTTTACTTTAGTATATATAGGAGAGGTGGACAAGTTGAGAAAACAATTGCTATAACTTGCAGTGCTGATGCGTCACCCATTGATGCTTCTCTCTCAATAGAACTTTTCTTAGAGTTAAGTCTATTTGTTTGATATTTGAAGACTTTTCTTTGAAATCAATGTAAGGACATATAATGTCACAACGGTAATTACTGATGAATTATTTGATCTGTATCATTTCTTCTTAACATTTTTCGGAATCAATCGAATTCTTTTGATTTTTCAACTCAAAACTTTGTTTGCATGGATATTCCTCAGAGATTTTCTCCATCTAACTTCTATTTTGATTTAGAGAAATCGACATTGATGAAGATGTAGGTGTCGATTGAATATCTAAAACAATGTGGTCAAATGTTAGTTGAAATCAGAGATGTCCATCGCGGCAGCGGCAGGATTTTTTTGGAGGACATTGAAAAGCTGCATGAATTTAATAGAATTTCAGGGTTTACAAACGAAACATCCCGAAACTGAATGAACCTGATGGACTAGTACCAATATCTCTGGTCAAATATAGTCGCAGCAGTGAAATTAGAAACACTTTTTTGAAAATCACCGCGGCAAGATTTTTTATAGGTCATCGTGGCGCGGCAGCGGCAGATTTTCAGCCGCGAAGGATATCTCTGGTTGAAATATTTAATTCAACAGCACGATGTTTCTCTTCGAGATCTTTTGGACAGAATTGAGAAAAGAAAAGACTAAATCAAGAATATTCTTAGTCAATAAATTTCTTTGTTTGTTCAAAATAGCTCGAAAGAATTTCGATTTACAAACCGAGAGTTGTTTCCATCTACTTAGCTTTGATTTTTTTCAAGTTTCGATCAACTATGGAACATATATTGAATGTTACGTTGGTTTCTTTCTACTTGTCGAGTCAATCTTGTCTTGTGGTCATTTTTGTAATACCAGAGTAATTCATTTAAATATATCAAATTATATTCGAATTGGACATGATCTTTGAATCTAAACTTGTATTATTCATTTTTAGTTTCAAGACTCGAATATGAACTACTTGAACTTGAATTAAATAAGGAACAATACAATGTTACACAAGTTAGAAAAGTTACTATTGGCTTCACAAAAAACAATAGAAAAACATCATATCTGTGACATTGTCCAAACTTTTGTTCAATGATGATATCGTTGAAAATGACTTAGAAACCATCTCTGAGGTATTATATAAAAAATTGGCGAAAAAACTTTGACAGCACTTTATTTATTTTTTTGTCTACAGCAAGGTTGTGGGGTGTACGTGTGACTGTCCACTGTGGGTAGAATAGAGATCTTGCTCTGACTCTCACCCACACTCACACTCACACCCTGTTTTACGACCTTTGACGTTAACCACAGTACGAAACTTTTTACCGACATAATGACTGTGGTTACGGTATGGATGTGTGATGGTGTGAATAAATAGGTAGGAACACAGATGCACATGAAAACATCAATCACACACAAAGTCCAATCCTGTACTGATGTTTCCACCCTTTGACACGAACCCACACGTACACAATCAACTAAAGCGAAGTTCATGCCTATACATGTAGTTACACCAACATCGATATTCACATGAAGTTAGCCCACCGACATCTTCCATTGATATCTGCATCAAGAATCAAATAAATTATGACTGAAAAAACCATTTTCATAGCCCCAACCACACCAACTCTAACAAACACCCAACTACTAATATATCTAACTTCAATTTGCATTTACAATCAGACCCACATAATATCTGCAAGCATCCTAAGCAAAGCTCACATCCATATGCTCTCGCAACCCAAATCGAAATCAACACCTTCAAACAATAAAGTAGTCGCCAGCACCCCTATATCCAATTAAACACCAAGGTTCCCACCATACCCGTCAACTGATCGACATTCTACCACATCATAAACCTCCTGCTACCGTAGAAACATTCAAACTCATCCAAACCAACAACCACAAGAAAACTAACATCCAAATGGAAACTAAAACGTAGACCATCCTCTCATACACATAACAAACCACAACCTCATCACAGTCTGCAACATATCGATCAACAAACAGCTTATCATGCAAACCTTGACTAACACTGCAGGCTATTCTCTTTCACATCCACATCACCATCTAGATCAAACGATCAGATGGTAAGGTCTTTCAAGAATCTTAAAGTATGATTAAGTGCAAGATGCCTAAGACAATAATTCTTTGTACGATTTCATTTAATCTTACAAGGTGTTACGTCTGATTTGTTGACCTGGGTTTAGTTCGAATTATACTATTGTCTTGCTTGGATATCGTTAGAACACGGAAATTTAGTTCAAATGCATGTTTTTTATGTAATGAACTACATTCTGACCACAACCGTAGTTTTTCTCGATGATATTTTGATGAAAATTATTCTTCTTCTCTACCGAGCATACAGTTTGACTAGCGATTAGTAAAATTAATCTTCATAAAATATTCACTTTGATGAATTGAAAGTTTAAGTAAAGGTATAAAACTTCAGATTGGTAGTTTACAATGTGGATAAAAAGTAAGCGCTGTTACTTGAATCGAAACATTTAGACAAACATTTTCAGTTTGTAAGCCAGAAACAATCATTGGGCCTGAATATACGACTTGTGCACCAATGGCCTGAATTTTCCGTGATGTTTTATCCAGTACTACTGAAATATTATTTTCCATTTTTACCGATCCATTCGTCCGAGGAGCATCTGCTATAGTAGTTGGGCTTTGTTTGTTGCTCGATGATTGAATTACACCTGTTCCATCGTTTATCATACTCGAATATGCATTGGCTGACCAAGGATTACCTACAGTATTATTAGCAATGATTGAATTTGAAAGTGTTACTGATGTACTACAAAAACAGAATACTGCACCAAATCCATCAGCTTTATTATTAGCTACAGTTAGACTAGAAAATGAACCTGATACAGGATTTGAACATAATATTGCAGCACCGAGGCATGTATATGCCTGTTTGTCTAAAAAATTGACATTATTCAATGTTACAAATTTCTCATTAGCTAAAAATAATCCACCGGCACCATCTGCTGAATTATTAGCAATGACAGTATTTCGAATGGATGCACTCCCACCTTGAATATACAATCCACCTGGTAGTCCATTTTCATCTTTTCAAATGAAATTACTAGGGCGCGGATGTTGATGTAGGTCTTCTCTTCATTCACATTCACACCCGATGGGTAGGGTTTACTGTAAAAAATAGGCATAGAATAATAAACCCTTTAAAAGGGTTTATTAACCTTATAAACGCTTTCATATACCCTTTTTCTTCATAAACC